TGATTGAGTTCATCTTGCATTGCATTTACCCAGTCTGCATCCTGCAAAGACTCAACAACATTTTTAGGTTCAATAAGAGATAGGAAAGCATCAAAAGCACAAAGATTCTTTAATTGAGATCTGGTTTAATTCCAGAAGTTGGGTCAGTAATTATGTTCTCAATGGGATGAGAAATTTGATACTTGTAAGGTTTCACAAAACTAGTTTCTGCTTGATGTTTCTCCCATGTTTTGTTGCTGAGGAACATGCTCATGGACAGGTTCCATTTGGGAATTAGATTCAATTCTTCTTTGTTCAGTTCCCCCTGTCAGGTTGCCTGGATGGAAGAACCTGTTCCATCACCTGTTCCTTCTTCTGGTGCAGCTTCATCTTGGGCTTTGACTTCATTTAAACCTTTTACCAGCCCAATAGTTTCATCTTCATGTTCTTGTCTCTTAGAAAGAATGTTGGTTTCATCAAAAACTACATGTACACTTTCTTCTACACACATGGTTATTTTGTTGTACACTTAATAAGCTTTGCTATGTGAAGAATATCCCAAGAATACTCCCTCATCACTTCTGGGATCAAACTTACCTAGGGAGTCCTTTCCATTGTTGTGCACAAAGCACTTGCATCAAAAAGCCCTAAGATGCGATATATTAGCTTTTCTCCCTTTAAGTAACTCATGGGGAGTCTTCTCTACAAGAGGTCTAGTCATGCACCTATTAATGATGTAACATGCAGTATTTACAGCTTCTGCCCAGAAGCTATGGGGCAGTTTACTAGAAAGAAGCATGGTCCTATCCATATCTTCAAGTGTCCTCTTCTTTCTTTCAACTACTCCATTTTGTTGTGGAGTCCTAGGGGAAGAAAAATTATGATCTATGCCATGCACATCACAAAATTCAGCAAACTTAGCATTTTCAAATTCAGTTCCATGATCCGACCTAATTGATGCAAGTTGATTAGCTAGTTGTTTCTGAGTTTTTCTAACAAAAGAAGTAAACATGTCAAATGCTTCATCCTTAGATATTAAAACAATGTCCAAGTAAACCTAGAGTAATCATCAACAAGCATCATCACATATTTTTTACCACCTCTGCTTAATGTTCTCATTGGACCACAGAGATCCATATGAACAAGTTCCATCGATCTGGTCGTACTTACCACTTTCTTGCATTTAAAAGAGGATCTTACCTGCTTCCCCCTTGCACACGCCTCACAAACTTTGTCTTCCTTAAACTTGATGTTAGGTAACCCTATCACCGGGTCCTTGGAGACTAATTTTTTGAGTTGACTTAGACTTGCATGTCCAAGTCTTTTGTGCCAAAGGAGGGGATCATTTTCCAACACACTCAAGCAAGTGAGTTTATTTTCTGAAAGAGTAGACAAATCTACAATGTATATATTGTTTACTCTTTTTCCTGCAAAACAATCTTGTCAGTGGTAAGATTTATCACAAAACATTTGGTAGAGGTGAATGCTACCAAGTTACCTCTGTCACATAGTTGTGATACACTGATTAAGCTATATTTCAAGCTATCTATCAAGTAGACATTCTCAATGGAGTGTGAGTCTGTCTTACCTACCTTTCCAACCCTAATGATCTCACCTTTCTTACCATTTCCAAAGGAGACATTACCTCTTTTTAAGTCCTCAAGTGAAAGGAACTGGTTCTTGCTTCCAGTCATATGCTTTGAGCGGCCACTATTCATGTACCATATTTGGCTGCTCCCCTTCACTTGGACCTGCAAAAGGAAATCAGGGGTTAGTCTTAGGAACCCAATCTAGTTTGGGTCCCTTTCTATAGGCAAAAGGGTGAATTAAATTCTTTTTAGCCTATCATGGCAGCCTATTTTTTCCTTGAACAAAAGTTTTGTTCTTTTGACTGGCCTTTTTTTTTGCAGTGCATTCACTTTTGTAGTGAGTAGTCTTACCACAGTGTGTCAAATTTTGTTCTCAGGAAGTGTGATGTACTTGCTTTTGGGATCCCACTCAGGTGCAGGGGTCCCATAGCCAAGTCCTCTCTTATTGCTACTATGGTGTTCTTGTAGCCATGACAGTGAATTAGAGGACTTATTCCATTTACAAGTTCTGTCTAGTTCATGCTTAACCTTGCTTAGATCTTCTTTTAGGACTCTTATCTGCTCGTCCCTTTTGTACAACTCATCCTTCATTTTTCCTAGATTTTCTTCTAAGGTGAGATGTGTGTGATCAGATTTCTTTTTACCTGTTCCTAATTTTAGTTTTAAATTTTCAGATCTAAGCTCTAGCACAATGGTGTCAAGTTCAAGAACCTGGTTCTTCCATTCAGCATTTTTACTATCACTTTCACTAGCCCTGAGTTCCAGATTTTTGCACTTAGCTTTCAAGATTACACATTCCTTAGACAGATGTTCCTTTTCATTGTTTATGACCTCAGATTCATCAATGAAATCAAGCAGTAACTCAGATAGACTCTCTTTAGACAAAAATTTAATCTTGTCTTTGAGATGAATCACACTTACCTCTGATTCCTCATCAGATTCTCCAATGGCCATAAGTGCTTGTTCATCTCCATCTTCATTTTCTGAATCCTCATCTGAGCTCTCTCCCCAAGCAGCAACCATAGCCTTTGTTGATCCTTTGTTCTTCTTGGGATGAACCTGTTCCTTCTTCCTGTTTCTTCGTTCAGCCCTTTTTCTTCTTCTATTCAATTTCCCACTGAGGATAGTTTTTGATCATGTGGTCAGTCTTACCACAATTGTACCAGCTCTCGTTGGTCTGTTTTTCAGGGACCCTTGGTTTGTTGAATGTTGCACCTCTTGAAGAACCCTTTCCTCTCATCAGATACTTCTTGAAATCCTTCGTGATAATAGCCATTTCATCTTCCTCTAGATCTGCACCTTCAGCTATTCTGAGAGCCAGGATCCTTTCCTTCTTGGGTGCATCCATCTTCACGGTTTTGCCTTCTAAGTTTATAGGCAGTGAGATTTCTAATTAGCTCGTCCAACTTGAGAGTGGCAATGTTCTTTGATTCCTGAATAACAGTAATTTTGCTTTCCCGAGTAACTGGCAAACACCTTGTCAAAATTTTTTCAACCTTGTCTTTTTCAAGGATAATCCTTCCAAGAGACTTAAGTTCATTTGTTAGTGTTGTGAACCTTGTATACATCTCTTGGATGGTTTCTCCTTCCTTCATGGTGAAATTCTCATATTGAGAAAACAGCAATGTTCCTCTTGATCTCTTCACTTGAGGAGTTCCTTCGTAAGCCACTTGCAAAGTGTCCCAGATTTCCTTAGCAGTAGCACATCTTTGAATTCTGTTGTACTCGTCTGGACCAATTCCACAAACAAGCCATTTTTTGGCCTTAGCATTCTTTTCCCACTTCTTCAAATCCTCACAGTGCAGTTAGCTCTAGTCTTTGGCACATCTACTCCTTCAGCATTCTTCTTCGTGGTAGCCAAGGGACCATCAGTAACAATGTCCCAGAGTTCATAGTCCTCTCCGATGATGTGTCGCATCCTGTTTTTCCACCAGGAGTAGTACTGGCCATTAAAGAGAGGCCTAGCAGTAGATTGTCCTGCCCAGTTTCCAGGTGGTGCACTCATCTTGATCTGTTCCTAAGGTGTTAGCCTCTTCAAGGATAACCTTCTCTGATACCAATTGATGTTTTATACTTCAATACCACACAAGAGGGGGGGTGATTTGTGTGGTGACCAATTTTTCGCTTAAGTTGTTTATGGAAGAACATGGTTCTTCTACGTGTTCCTTAACCTACTATTGAAGAAATAATAAATGCGGAAATTAAAGAACACAAGTATTTTACGTGGAAAACACCTGGCTCAAAAGGTGAAAAAAACCACGACCTACTTTCCAATAGGATTTTCCCAAAATCTCCACTAAAATCACTAAGCCAAAAACAGCATTTACAAAAACCCTTTTGTAAACCTAGGACTAACTCTAATCTTGTTGTAGCACACAGCCTCAACTGTTGCGACAACTTCAAGTTAACTCTAACTTGAAACTCTGAGTACCTAATACAATTGCTTCTAGATAAAGCTGAAAGGTACAATATGAAAATACCTACTACAATTGAACTAGAATAAAAGACAGACACTTGGAACTCGTTCTTCTATCTAGTTCAAGTAGCTTCAGGTTTGCACGTTTGAATCACACACGAATTGCTTGCAAAATTGCCTTACTATTTTGCTCTCAATTCACGTTTAACTTCTGCTTATGTGTGTTGCCTGTAAAAGAGAACAACACTGATATTTATAGAGTTAGTAAATAGAGATTGACTAGAATTCTGATACTACTCTTCCTTGGTGGAAAAGTTCTAGTTGATCTCATCCTCTAACTCCTTCCCTTTCTTAAACCGTGTTCTCTTTGAGTAAGGAGTCCTTCTCCTTATCCAATATGCAACCTTATCGATCAGGATCAGGAGATATTCGTTCTTTCAAGTTAGGTCTATCTCCTTCACGTGCATCTCACATGCTTGAGTCTGTCCATATCTATGCTCCACTAGGATGGACCTGGTCCATGTCTGAGTTCCTTTGTCAGTCTTCAAAACTAATATTTACTTGGACCAACAGTTTGCGGCAGAATTCCTCCAGGATATTACAAAAACCAAACGAAATCCAAGTTCCAGCAATAACCTGAAATTTCCTTAAGAACATATTTGTGTGGTTTTTAGGAGAAAGAGAAGAGAATCTGACTATTTTATTGTTTGTTCTGAATGTGTGTCCCTTTATGGTTGCAAAGACATGTAATTAGTTATCAAAAAAAAAAGAAAAAAGAAAAAAAAAAGACATCTATTTATAATACCTTAGGTGTCTTTTAAAACATGTCTATCAGGAATAGACACACCTCTTCAAAATACACTTCCAATAGTCACTTTAATTAAATTAACACTTCCTTCTCTCCTATATAAATCATTAACTATTCCAATGGTGGAACCTATCCATGTATAATAAAGCTTATGTATGCATGTAAGCCTACCGAATTATGAGTAAAAAGCTAGCAATTGACAATGTTCTGTAGGTAAATCGGGTACCTTTCTCTTTTATCTAATAAAATACAAAACAACACATTTTCTTCGTTGAATAACAAATTGACATGAGATATTTTCTGTGGTACAGGACTTTCCAAGAAAGAGAGATCAGAAACTCCTCCTAGTAAACAAGACAGCGACAACATAAGATTAGCAGCGCCTGACCACACATATGAAGTGCAAAACAACGTTAGAGAATTGGTGTCCATCAATCTGCAGGTAGCGACGAAATCCAGAATTTAACACCACTCAATTTAAACAAATGTACTCTTATTATATGTATACATAATTCTGGTCGTTGATGAATCCATTGAATCATTCTAAATCTGCCTCTGGTTAATTATTTCTTTTGGTTAAGGAGACAGTGACATTTATAAACTCTGTCTTCTCTTTGGACATGCAATCAGATATAATCTCTTCATATTTGTGGAATACTAAATCCATTAATTCCTCGCCAAACTGGCTCACAAGCAAAGGCTCAGCCACAGCTCTCATGCACCTTGAGACACTGTAACCACCATTTTTATAGTTCTCATTACAAGCATTCCAATGGACTCTTGTAGCTTCCAATTGATTAATGGTGAATGATCCCTCCTTCTCAACTGCGTATTTCACCTCTCCTGGTGATGGTGTATATTGAGGAATGTTGAATGAGTCAACTTTCTCTTCTTCTATCAATCCCTGCATTCAATTCGTAATTACTTATATTCAGGATTTAAGTTATATGTACTGTCATAAAGAAATTTTATACTATCGGCACAATTTAATTAATCGATTATAGTAAGTTATAGCTCCCTTTAACAGGTTACGATATCATATTTACTATGGATAGTTAACTATTATTATAATATAAGTCAACTTATTGATGGTGTCAAAAATGTATACACTGTCAACAGTCAACACACAAATTAAACTTCGGCTTGTAGAGTGTAATTAGAACTATCTCCCTTCCATATTATTAATTTTCTTTTAAAGATTTTAGAAAGACATTTAATAATCTTAATTATAAGAGTATTTGTTTAAATAAATCATTGTCTCTCCTTAAGTATCTCACTTCATTAACACTCTAATAGGCAAAAAATGGCAGATTTGGAAGAAAAATATCCACTTATTTTTCTTAAAATTTAAATATTTTAAAAACAAATTCATTTTGTCAAAACAACTTATATTTGGACGGAGGAACTATTATTTTTTTAGTTGCGTTGTGTTTGTATTTTTCCTTCTTTTAAATTTATTTTTTTCATCTCCTTCCTTTTAATTGAATATAGAGATAGACGAGCTACATGGAGATAGAGCAGTTATCAGTTATGTAATAAAATAATACTTCCTCCGTTCACTTTTACTTGGTATGTATACTAAAAATAGATTTTTATTTTTACTTGATCAAGAGAAGACAATTCCTTTTTCCTGTTATACCCACAGTATTTATTACTCATTTCAAATTATTTTCTCAAATCCAATAAAATATGCATCAATTAATATGGGTATCATGGTAAATTATACTTCATTTATTATTTTTTAAGGGGCTTGAAAAATCAAAACTTGCCAAATAAATGTAAACGGAGGGAGTATTACGAGTAGTGATAACAAAATATTTGACATAACTAACCAAAGTTTAACTTATTCTGAGAGGAAAAAAAGTTTACCTGTACAACCAACTCATTGAGGGCCATGGCTAAAAGCTCCCAAATATAGCAGCATTCTTTGCTAGTTGGATCCTCACTTTCTCTTCCTAAAAATGTTAAAACCATCTTCCCACCTTTCACCAATTCTTCAGAACGATACTTGAGAAAATTGGAAAAATCTTTTTCATATTGTTTGTAGTATGCTTTAATAACACTTGGGGGACTTGTACTTGCAATGTAAATATTCCCCTTGTTATTCTCAACTGCATCAGGAACCTGATAGATAGAACCAACAAAATTACAAAAATATAAAAAAAAAATTAAAAAAAAAAACTTCTTACCAAACATTATTGAAATCTATAAACTTAAACAAAATAGTTTTCAATAGGGGCGGAGCTAGAGTGCCGGGAGCGGGTTCGGCCTAACCCAGTAGCTTTGGTTCGAATTCTATATTTAGTACCCAGTAACTTAAAAGTTAAAACGATTAAAATTCCGAAACTATAAGCTTAAAATCCTGGCCCCACTTCTGGTTTTCAAGAAAGTCTTTGTGAAAGTTCAAAAGTTTCCACGAATTATTATGTAACAAAAAAGGCATACAGTATCCCCTATTCACACAGGGTGCGAAAATTAGCCCAAGGAGGTGTGATATAGGTAACCTACCCTGATTATGTTACACGTATTAATTAAATAATTTGTGATATGTGGAAAACTTACTTGAGATAGCCACATGAGACTGTAACTGGAGTGAACAAAGTGCAAGCTGTTGGAAGGGAAAAGCCTAGTATAAAATGAACCAGGCACTCCACTAAAAAAGCATGGACCAAACTCTTCTCCTATTTGCTTTCTCAAATCTTGTTGAAATATATCCAATGACTGGAAAATGGTATTAAAGTCATTGCCAGGAAGATCATTGAAGTTAAAATGAAACTCTGGTGACTGAAACCCGTGCTTCTTTCGTTCTTTTTCGACGATTTTAACGAGCTCCGATACAACTATAAAAGTATTAGCTCCAGAGGAACAACCCAAATCCGCAATGCATAAGTTTTGTGGGAAGAGACTGCAGTAGAGATCAGTTATGGCTTGCTCTGTTATTGGCTTTGTCATGAGAATCACCTTTTGCTGTTCATGAAACAAAGAAAATATTACAAGGAATTTATAAAATCCAAATTGAAGATAACGTAAATAATCTTTGTACAGTAATATCTCTATTTTTATCTGCCGTTTTTTCTAGGTTAGTAATTTCATCTCTATACAATTACTGTAGTTATGTTTCATTCTATTAGATTATTAATAGCATAAAAAATTACACAATCAATGTATAAAAGTTAAACACTTCCGAGTTATGAGCATTTTTCAACTGAAAAATAAAGAAAGCGACATGCTTCAACATGTTAATTTATAATAATTGTTTTGTGAACTGAAAAAGTGAGAGAGGCAACATGCTACAATATAGTATTAAATTACATTAATAAGCTAATTCCACTAGTAGTATATACTCCCTCCGTTTTAATTTATGTGAACCTGTTTGACTGGACACGAAGTTTAAGAAAAAATGAAAACTTTTGGAATTTGTGGTCCTAAACAAGTTAAAAAGGGGCCAGAGTGTTTGTGTGGTTATAAAAGCTTCTCATTAAGGGTAAAATTGTAAGTTTAAGCTAAATTGTTTTCAAATTTAGAAAGGGTTCATTCTTTTTGGAACGGACCAAAAAGGAAATAGGTTCACATAAACTGGAATGGAGAGAGTATAAGTAAAATTCTAAGATACAAGAAAAATTATAATGATAAAGTTGTCTCTCCGTATGACTATATAAGTCACATGTAATTCGAGTCGTGGAAGCAGCCACTAATATTTGCATTAAGATAGCTGTCTACATCACACCCCTTGGGGTGCAGCCCTTCCTCGGACACTATGTAAATAAGAGATACTTTATGCATCGGGCTACTCTTGTTTCTCCTAAAATTCAAGAAATTAAAGTATTTCCATGCCAAGAACAATTCATGTTACCTGAACCAAGGAATTTTTTGCATAGCTAATGTCTCCAATTCCGCCATTCATGTGAAGAACTTCAACAACCTTCATTTCTTCTATTTTATCTTTCTTGATCTTTTTGTATATATATTTTTTTTTTTTTTGTTGG